GGCGGGGCCAGGTGTTACCCCAGACACAGAGGCGCTCTTTCTGCTACGGAAATAGAGCCTGGCAAGCGGCCACCCGGCCCGAGGCCCTCTCTGCAGCAGCCAAGCTGCGGAAGGACAGCAAGCAGACATCCGGTGGCTGGACTAGGCTGGCGGCTCTGTCCTCAGCTGTTGCCCGTCCCTGGTGAGGGCCAAAGCCACCACCTGGGGTGCAGGGAGGCCTGTGGGTGTGCCCGGTGAGGAAAGGCTCAGGAGGGCCTGAGCGGGCAGTGATGGGGAAGGCAGGCCGTGGGTGGTGCGGCTCCCTCTGCCTTCTGCTCAGGCTTGGGGGTGCCCCCTGGGGAGAAGACCCAAGGCCAGCGAGCCCACTGGGTCCCACTCTCTGGCCAGTGGTAACATGCTGGCTCAGTAATCACCGTCTCAGTATTTGGGGACCCCCAGCTGGGGTCCCGGTCCTAACTACCATTTGTGAGGGGATGACCTTGAGCAAGTCCCCAACTTCCTCACTGTAAAGTGAATGGGAGAAGATAACAAATACGAAAGGGTTTGCTGAGAAACCTGGAGAGGCAAGCGCCCTGCCTCACTTCACTGGCGCAGTCACAGGCCCTTCGTGTTTCAGGGGGCCGCAGCCCCAGCCGGCACCCTCCTGCAGCGCCCCTCGCAGCCACACGGTGGCACTGTTGCACTCACCCTGTCCATCGGGCAGAGGCCCCAGGACAGCCGGCCGGACACACTGCGACTCCTCACTGACTTGCCCCAGGAGGGTTCAGCCTGTGTCCTGGTTGAGTTGGGGGTCATCCACTGGACACCTCCTCTCCCAAGGTGATTTTAAACTGAGGTCTGGTGCGCTCCCTCCTGCCACTGGGCTCATCACAACCACCCAGGCGTCTCCCTAACTTGGGTCTGTGTTTGGGGGAGTCTCATCTTCCCCCATCCAGAAGTCACTGGGTTCCTTTTGGGAGTCCATCCTCCTCTGCCCTGGGGCCCAGGTCAGAGACTGTCTCTCTCTCCCTGTCTCCCTAGCAGCCTGGAGGTTCAGAAGGTGACATGCAGGGAGTTTGAAGCTGGTCACCAGCAAGAGGGAGTGGTAGACTCACTGACTGGCTTCCTTTCTGACCTACAACCCCACCTGCCCTCCCAGCCGCCTCGCTTTCATCTGTGACTATGGGAGGGGCCCAGAGACCCCACCCTCGACCCTCCACAGAGCTGTGGCCTTGGTCTCTGGGCCCCTCCCACACACACATTTTCACAGATGAGGAAGAGAGAAGGCTGGGGTGTGTGTGTGGGGGGGCACTCAGGTGACAGGCCCCTTGTCACCCAGTGCGCTGCCAGCTGCAGAGCAGGGACCCCAGGCCAGTTCTCTTAAAAGGAGTCCTGCTCTGAGGCAGGTGGGGTCGATCAGGGCCCCGGTTCCTACTGGTGGAGGCTCTCCCCTTCCACACAGCCACGGAAAGGGGCCGCGGTGATGAAGGGGCCGCTGCCCCACCACGGTCACACAGTCTCTAGGGCCCACTGGGTGGCGAGCAGGGCTGTGACGTAGCTGCGTCTTTAGGGCGCTGGAGGACGGAGCTGGGCAGGCAGAAGGAAGGGGCGTAGCTGGGCTCAAAAGTGAGCCTGGGGTCGTTGGGGAAACTGATGTCCAGTCCTGGTGTCCTGGCGGAGCGATGGAGGGCCCCGTGGGGGGCTTCTAAGTCTCCTGGGGCACTGCCAGGTCACAGCGGACACCCACCCTCCGGAGCCCCGCTGCGAGGTGGACGGCCAGGAGGGGGGGCCCTGCCCGGGGGAGGGGGGGCCCACA